ATCCACCAAGCTTTAAACAAACTCAACTTTGGGTGCCAGCTGAAAACCCCAGAACCTATTTTTAAGGGCAGTAATCACCGATTCCATCTCTGACTGATTGTATTTTTTTTTTAATGGTGAATGGGCCGGCCATACGTGCTTGGCAAACATAGGGGGCGAGTCGGTCAGGAGGCGAGTCGGTCTGGGGGCGAGTCGGTAAGGGGGCGAGTTGGCTAGGGGGCAAGTTGGTGAGGGGCGAGTCGGCCAGGGGGCAAGTTGACCTACAATCCATCCATCATATTCATAGGCCTACAACGGGGTCAGGTCAACTCGGACCCATGCCAACTCGGACCAAGGACCAACTCGGACCCAATACTAACTCGGACCCACGACCATCTCGGACCCACAACCAACTCGGACCCAATACCAACTCGGACCCAGGCCTTTTCGGACCCACCTCGAGTCAACTTGGACCCACTGAGTCTTATGGTTGCATTACACCAAATACGCGCCCGTAGACCGAAATAGCGCCGACTCTTGAACCTCGCGAAGAGGTTGGCCTTCATTTTTTTCGCTGGAAATTCAAGATTATTTTTTTCCGCTGGAAATTCAAGATTATGGCCAGATCGATCACTTTTCGTTTCAGTTTTATGAACTTTTTTATTCTCCTTTTCCTGAAGATACCCCCTAATAGTAGTAAAACTATGCGCTCATATGAATGTAGCCGCCTGCCTGTATCCAAAATAGGCCCGCACTGTGGGGCTTTTTGTGAAAGAAATACTCTGAACCGGAAACTATCAATTCTAAATTCGGGATTTTTATAAATAATTCCATGAACCCTCGTGATTATGGCATGTCTTATTGTAAAAAAAAATGAAACCGTGGGATCACAAAATATTAATAATGAGCTCGCGAGAAGACATACGATGCTTTAAAACCATCTCCAAGTTTAAGCCAATGAGAAATATTCCACATTTTTATTTTAAAATGATTTGATTTGTGTTACCAACCTATTTGCGTTATTTGGACAGTCAGTTTAGGCCTGTGTGGATGAATTCCTCCATCTGCCTAAATCTTGCCGGTATTCGGGGGGGGAGGGAATGGGGCAAGGTGGAGGTGTAAGACTTGCCAGGCAAAAACAAAATGAAAAGTGAGATGGGGATAACACCATTAGACACTATTCAAGGTCAATGTTTGTGACGTTGATGTATATCTGCAGTATCTGTTGTACGTATGCAGCATCTCTCATGTACATCAGAAGGCCTATCTGTGGTTTTTTATTGCAACAAAAACTTTGGGGGCTGTTTAGTGAAAGTTCATTCGATTTCTGGAGTGCCAAAAAAACTTCGGAGAAAGGGGTCAATGATTTGGTACTGTCAATCACACTCCAAAAGCTGCTCCCATTGGTTGTTCCAAGCTCCCACTCCCCGATCATAGGGTTTCAAGAATGGAAGGTGACAAAATCAGCCTTTGTGGTCAATCATGCCGGTACCTCGGAAGCTAATACCTGATTAAGATTCCAGATTACAAGCGGCAAATAAGATATCAAAGGAAATGTGCCTCCATAAAAGTACGACGCTCGTCGGTTACTTATCACTTGTTCTAAGACATCACTGATATCAAATCTAGTCCTGTACGGTTTTTAACCACCATGCCTGTTCAAACTCGAAAACGGAGAAATTCTGGGAAGCCTGTGCCACTGTTTCCCTGCATAACGTGTAGAGAGGATGTTACATCTTGGCAGCATGCAGTGTTTTTTTTGAGTGAATCTGGAAGTGAATTTGATGTTTTTCTTACACAGTGGCAGGTCTTAGAGTCTCTAAACTGTGATAAAATGACTTTAAAATCTTTAGAGGGTATTTTCAAGTTGCTGACGCTTTGTTGACGCTAATTGTATGTGTTGACGCTAAATAGCATGACCAGTACAATGTGCATGCCAGCATGTGTCAAATTCGTATTTTTTACAAGGGAACTGGTCAACTTGTACTGTACCTTGGACAACTCATACCATAAACTCAACATAACTGTACCAACTCGTACTTTTGCCGAGTTGCACCTTGGACAACTCGTAACTCCAGTAAAGACAACTTGTACCTTCACGTACGAGACAACTCGTACCTTCGCAGAAATCAGTGCTTACTCAGAGCTTATGATTATTGTAATTAACTTGAACAATAATTTGATTTCTTAGTCATGTGTTCGTCATTTAATTTGCCGTTTTGGCTACACTGCCTTCCCTACATGCCAGTGGGGTGACATTAATGTGAGACATATATGTACGCATCGACATCGTGCATATACGTGCGCAGTCAGGCAACTGACGGTGGTCAGCATGGCCAGCTGTCGTTGCATGCAATTCGGAATCTCCACAGTGCAGTCCACCGTGATGTTGAAGTGATGTCATGTTTTCATTTACTTTGAAGTTTATAAAGTAATGTCAGATGTAACTTGTCCCCCCCAAAAAGAATTTTAATAAGGAAGGCAACCACCTTCCCCTCCAAAAAATTTAAGAACGAGACCAGAAACGGTTTAATTAAAATCAAGACTTAACAAGTTTTATTACATGTAAGTACACCTCCCAAATGTTACTAAACAAAGCCATCATTCCCCCAAACCAAAAAAGTCCAATAATGTTTTCCCAGAGCCATAAGAATAAATTGAAGTCCCCTCCCCCCCCAAAAATGAATGTAAGGTTTCATAAAGCCCCCCCCTTAAAACAAAGAATGTTAATAAGGAAGTCAAGTTGGTAAACGGTTGGGTTGTTCAACAAAGCCTTGTCATGTAAACCGGCAGCACAAACGCCCATGGCAGGCACTATGCAGAAAATCATAGTGGCGCTTGGGATCTCTGGGAGAAATTTATGAAGATTTGTCCTTGATATGTTTGTCAAATATGATTGTAAACATGCTGAAAAGGAAGAGCAAGAAATTTACAACCAAATTGATAACGTGAAGGTACAAGTAGTCTTAACCTGATGTACGAGTCGTCCAAGGTACGAGTTGTCCAAAGTACAAGACGTCCAAGGTACGAGTTGACTCGAAAGTGTTTACAATGTCTTGTTACAAAGGAAGTACCCTATTTTAGATAAGTTATATCAAGTGTAAGATGCAAAAACTAAGACAAGGTTGAGAAATCTACTATAAGAATTGGTCAACAGTAGTTGGGCCAGCCCAACTGCAGCACCACAATTGGGACTGTCGCAACTATAGTTGGGACAGACGCTATAGTTGGCGCGTAACAGTTTTAACATGTTAACTAATAACATAAGGCATGCAAATTACATGGATCACAGAAGTAAATGTTGGATCTGAATTCAGGCCTGTTTTTTAGTTCTTAAACATTTATTTTCGGCAGGGGGATAGAAAGAGGGTGGATGTGAATTACCATAGTTACTTTCAGAACTGTAGTGTAAGGTACTATTCCATCATGTCCATTACAGGTTCCTTCCGGGGGTACATGTATATTTGCACATGGCCTTGTATTCTATAGTTACTCCTTAATTTTAATGGGCTCGTAATGCTATGGGATTTGAATGCAGCTTTGCAATGACCCGCCAATTCTTGATGAAACTGCACTTTCTCAATCAAATCTTCCCCAGAAAAGCCATCAAAACTCGATCATATCTGTTTAAATCACATGCCTTATGGTTTTTGGGCCATGTAGGTGACCATTTTCAGCAAAATTTAGAGTATTTTCCTAGCATCCTGCCTGTCTTCACAAAATGATCGGCACATCTGCTCAATGTGGCTGTTTACACAATGCATCACATACTGCATATGCACAATGTCAACAAACATCCAGTATTGACTCAACCATTTTGGAAGCAGGGGAGCATGGCAGGCGTAAGTTATCTGCCCTGAGCTAAAGTGCATCCTCTCCGGCGAAAGAAAAACAGATGGTACTAGGTTTTCCAACTGGGTTCTTGCTCATGTTCAGCATGCACACGAAGACCATAGATTGCAGACTAAATTTGTTGCGCGTACTCAGCGTACTCCACGTCAAACGCACGTTAACTTGTGTGCCAATACGGTGAATGCGTACCAAACAGAGAGCAATGTGTAGCTCTGTGGTACCAAAGAACTATCAGTTTCATTTCAAAACACGCCCTCTTTTGTTCCTGCTCAGAGCAGATACACTGTACTGTGAAGCTGCTTACATGTACCTGTAAGTGTGTAGGTCATTACTTTTTATCTATGTGATCATTTTCTGTGTATTATTTTTCAAAGCTTTGGAACCTTGTAAAATTGAACATGATTAAATTTTCTCATTGACAGGCCGTGTAAATGTCAAGACGCAATCCAAGAAAAACAGACATGAAATCAGCAAAGTGGACAGGAGACATCAAGTAAGAAAAACTGTTAAAAAAAAGAAGAATATCATAAATAGTTGTCATAGTTGTTGCATTCCATGTTTAGTTGAAACTAATTAAGTCACATATCCTGTCACTTTTGTGATGTTAAACCTGCATTTAATAGCATTTGGTTTTGCAAATGCATGCACAGAATGTTGGGGTAAAAGTGAATTTGAGACATAGAAGTATGATTCATCCTTTTGGATGCAGCCCCTGAGGTGTCTGAATACTAAATTGTTTCCTTGAATATTTCTCTGTTTCCCTTTTGCTGTCAGGATAACAAATGAAAGTGTTATAAATGTTTCATCAGCTAATGTTTAATTGACTTTTTTTTAGGCCCTGCAGAGAAGACAGCACAAACGTGAGGAGACATTGGCAAGGAAACGCAGCATCGGTGGTAGGGACAGTGCCCCTCATCTTGTGGTGGGTATTCACAAGGAAGACGAACTTATCACTAATGATTAATGGCCTTTGTACACAAGAACACCCCGTCCAGTGATA